TTGCTGTAGAAGAGTTTGCACTCTGGTACAGAATACTAATTATAGGCACCAATTGTTCCTTCATCATCAATAGCTTGACAGTTTCAGAAAATGCAACATGTTGCTGTCACATCCCCCTCAAATCAATCTCAATCTTACCTGGTCATTAGGAGAGCACCTTACAGCTATTGAAGATGAGCGTTCAATAATTCTTTCAGGTAATAGAAAAAGAAATCACGCCTAGGTAAAGGCAGGTAAAGGCTTCATAAAATATTATCTAAAATAACTCTTAGATGTACTTCTGGATTTTCGGCAAGTCCAATTACATAATATAAAACTGGCGCTTTATGTTCTAACTGGCGTGTGAGTGACCGCTAACAGAAAATGCTGATCAACGAAGCCAATGGAATTAGATTATAAGTGAGTATGAACCTTATTTACGGTTAATTCACATGATGGTGGAAACCCTGAACACGTAATTCACATGACGGTGAAAACCCTGAACACAATATTTCTTACGCGAGCTGTTGATTTTACTAATATAATGACGTCTTCCTCTAAAAATGTAAAAATTTGATAATTGATATTTGTTTGAGAGCAAATTTTTAACTGTATAGCATTATTATTGATTAATTATGATTTCTATGGCTGTTTATGGTGACACAAAACAATTTATTGCCACTTCTTTGCTTTTTACGTCATTTGACTCAAGTAAAATTTTTGATTGAAAGAGCAATCGCACGTCCTTGGGGATTTGAGCGAAGATCATTATTTGGAAAAATCAAAATAGATGAATGTTTTTCTTTCTTGGATGCTCACTAGTGTTTTGATGCCTTGCATATCAAATTAGTTGGAGACTTGCTCAGAAGGTTGCTTCAAGCCTGGCATATCACACCCCAGAAAATATGCAGGGTAAGAAAGAAGCAAGAGTTTTGACTAGACAATCACTGTTTGTCCATCAACTTCAGTTTCATTTTCCATACCTAACATTGATAATGAAAAGCATCAGGGTCTGTTGTTCTGTCCCACAACCATGCTTCAGGATTTGGCATTAGATGTCTATTCTACACTGCTAGTGCTTCTATTCTGGTTCGTTGTTTATGTTTTCTGTTGATGTAGGTACCTACCTTACCTAACCTACCCATCTTTCTTAACCCCTTGCAAGGGCTTGTGTAGGCATGCGATGCGCATCAGGCTTCAGGCCTTCGGCCTAAAGCCAGATACACAACCACTTAGCCTATGATGCTTCATGAGCTTGAGAATCTATAGCCCATTGCAATGTGCTTTTGGCTATATGTTTCAACTAAAAACAACTTATTATATACTATTTGGTTGCATTTCATCACGGCCGGCTGACGGCTGGCTGCCCACAGTTTGCCACGGCTGTGGGCGGCTGTGGCTGTGGAGCCACGGCTGCGGGGCGGCTAGGCTGTGGAAAATTGCAGCCGTGCAGAACTCTAGTTGGGCCCCAGTGCCCCGGTCCACCCTCAGGCGGTCGTGCGTTGTCAGGGGGAGGGGTGCGGCAGCGGCAGCCCAGGAGCCAGATAGCGATTGGATTGTCACTATTGCGTTAGGCTCGGCCTGGAATGAGATCAGGATGTGTGCCGTCAGTTCTGGGGGGAGAGGATGGGTGAGGATGGGGAGAGGTGGGGGAATGCCCTTCAACAGTGGGTCATTGAGAATTTTGTCCAATTTATATTCTAGTTCGTTTGGTAAGCAAGGTAAGCGAAATTGGTCGGTTCAGCAAAAAAGTTTCGAGAATTTTGATAACAAATAATTTGCATATAGGTAAGTCACCTGGGGTCACGTCTGGGCGATTTTCAAGGACAAGATAAGCAAACTTCTAGTAGCCGCCAACATCAATGACCTCATCAGACAGCTTCAGAAGGCGTAGACTAAGATCTCGCCAGCAGTGCTTCCCACCTGCGTCCAGCATTCTGGGACGCACACCTACGCCAGTGAATCACAACAAATGGTATATCAACAGATAAAATTGTCGAGCTTTGTTCCTCCGTCCAAGAAGAAAAAGAATGCTCACGTAATTACTTTCCGCCTTGTATATGCAATATATGTATATGAAAATGCATTGAATATAATTAGCCTAGCTGAGTAATACGGATCGGTTGATATGCAATATGACCTTTTCCTGTAAGGTCTTGACTTGACATGAAGCCAAATTTTCGTTCATTACGTGTCTCGGGGGATTATCGTTAAAAGTGATTGAGAATTATTAATTCTGAAGCGGCGGGAGAAGGAGTGAAGGGTGTGCAACTGAACCACTTTCTGGAAATATTGGGTTGCACACAGATAATTTTGCACCCCTAGCATTCATAAGCTGCGCTTCAAGGAACCCATTCAACCGTTGAATGAATTTCTGTTGAAAGCTGGTGCCCGGGTTCTTAAAACTGATATGCCCCAACATGCAGCTCTGAGGGAGCCACACAAGCTTTTGGGGCCCCATATCGGTAACTCGAGGTCCACACCGGCCTCTGAAGGCGCTATTCCGGTTTTTCTGGGGCCCCCGCTGGGTTTTGAGACCCTGTGCTATTTCTGAGGGCCCATGCAGGCTTCTGGAGTAGTAAAAGAATCTTACCTGGACTGGACCCCACACTAACTTCTGAAGGTCCCACTACGTTGCCTGAGGCGGCTTCTATGGGTCCTATACCGGTCTCTCAGGCTCCCTTCAGTGGCCTCTAAGACCCGCCCCCCCCCCACGTACGCTTCTGGGGGCCCAATCTAGCTCTTGAGGCCCTCACACTGACTCCTGATAGCCAAAGCAGGTTCCCGTTATCCCTTTACCTGCTATTCGGGACTACACACCGGCTTCTTGAGCTCCCCACGCCGGCTTTGTGAGCTCTTAACGGGTTTTAGACCAAACCCTGACTCTGAAGGGTCCACGAAGGTCTCTGAAGACCAATGCAGGGTTTTGAGGCCCTTACCGGCTCCGCCGGTCTTTGAAAGACCCTTTTTGGCTCCTGATTGTGGCCGGGGCCTCACACTGACCTCTGACGACCCCATGCCGACACAATCTCTTGGCGTGTGTACTGCATCGTGTATACTGACTCAAAGTGGCTCATGTCTTGAGGCTGAAGAGGCTTGAAAAGACCCTATACCAGCTTTCGGAGCTCTTACAGAGTATTTACTTTCTTGTACTTACATAGGCTGGCCTCTGAGGGTCTCCACACAGGCTAAGATTCACAACAGCTCTTGGAACCCCATGCTGGCTCCTGGGGGTCCGTGTCAAACCCTGGGGCTGTCTAATGTAACAGACCACTTGTGGGTTGGTCGATCGATTGCCGAGATATATGAAAATCGCCATGGGGTCGGGCCTTATCCGGTATTTCTTCCAATCGCGAATTTACTCGCTAGCTCGCTGCGTCCGCTTGCTCGTTAATCAATGCATGCTGAATATCCCTGACTATAACAAATCACGAAAGCTGTATATTTTTAAGAAGTTTTTTTTTTGTTGAACGTTGTTAATTAGCATTGTACAAATATTAGTGAACGAATTTGATAATTCGATGACAACCACGCTGAGGAATCAAAGAGACCAGCAACTCCCGGAGGGCCCTTGGGATTTAGGGGGTCCACGTAGAAATGTTCTCACCCCATCCAAAAATACCTTCCACCGCCACTGTTTCCACTAAGTCCGTCTATTTTTGCGGTTTTTGCCGCCAAGTGTTGACTTGAAGTAAAACCTAACGACATGCTAGCCAAAACAAGCTTTGAAATAGCTATTGAATATGCCTTTCTGCTCTTGAACCTGTGTCAGTGAAGAGCTATCGAATATACTCGTACTTCGTAAAATCTTTACCTCTGATTACCTTCAGTGTCCGTAACATTGGTCTGAGAGAGACAGAGAGAGAGAGAGAGAGAGAGAGAGAGAGAGAGAGAGAGAGAGAGAGAGAGAGAGAGAGAGAGAGAGAGAGAGAGAGAGAGAGAGAGAGAGAGAGAGAGAGAGAGAAAGAGAGAGAAAGAGAGAGAAAGAGAGAGAAAGAGAGAGAAAGAAAGAAAGAAAGAAAGAAAGAAAGAAAGAAAGAAAGAAAGAAAGAAAGAAAGAAAGAAAGAAAGAAAGAAAGAAAGAAAGAAAGAAAGAAAGAAAGAAAGAAAGAAAGAAAGAAAGAAAGAAAGAATGAAAGAAAGAAAGAAAGAAAGAGAAAAAACGAGTTTGCCTCGGAAAGTAATCATAGAGAGCTTATGGATTGCTTTTAAAACGTCTTTTTTGTCCTCAGTTTTTGTTTAATCGATTGTTATCCCACTACTGCAAAGCTGGCAGAGACCTTCATTCATAAAGACTTTCATTCATAAAGGGTTAAAGACTTTCATTCATTCTTGTTCAACATGTTCCATCGCAGAAGAGATGCAGAAGATAGAAAAAGCAGAGACAGGGGGATAGCCACTGGATAGCAGGTGCAGAGCAGGAAATATCAGGATGACAGCCGGAGCCCGGATGATTGTTGGTTTTTGGATACGGTAGCTTTGCAAAGCTATAGGAAACGGCAGCTCTTCACTTGGAGTTTTATTTAGACGATAGTTCTTATATCAGATCAGCATCCTTGTGCCTTGCAGCCGCTCCTTGCACAAATATACATGCCGAGATGCGTTGACTTCACACTCCAATTATTTTGCTTGGATGTATAGCTAGCTGTAATAGGGAACGGGATAATAACCGATTTTTTGTGAATGGCACTAGCCATAATTAAGCCTTTGGGTGGTCTCAGTGTATCGTAACACTAACAATAGTTACTCAAACATTTTACTTTTAGAACTCGGTAGGTACATGTAAAATTTCAAGACGTTGGTAAAAACGATCCCAAATTGGTTCAGGCATATTTCTAAAACCTCGCTGAGCAATCATTCATAAAGTTACTCATCTAGGGACATTACTCTTTTCATGTCATGCATGATTATGCTTCTTACCAAACACTTAAAGTTTCATTCGACAAAAGTGTTGCTGGTTAACAACACTTTCCCAGCCTCAAGTGATTGCCCAGGCCTGTGCCATATCCCAAAATACTTACGGTTTGACGGTTTCTTCGTACTTGAACTTGAGCCCCTGGTAGATGTTGGTGAGAGTATCTATCTGGTTCCGGAACATGCTGCTGGTTTTGGCTGGCACTGGCTGGCTGGTGGGCGGCTCGGCAGGCCTGCCTTCCCCGGGGAGCGGTCAGAAGAGGAGCGGAGAGCAGCGGCCAGCGGACGAGCGGGAGAGGTCAGCAGACGAGCTCTCCCAGCCACCGTCTGCCGGCCAGCCGAGCGACCTGGCCACCGAGCACCAATCACCGTCCAGACCGGGCTCCAGGCGACCAACCAGCGGCGGCGGGGCGGGGCCTACTGGCGCCGGACTGGCGGCAGCAGCCGCCGCTCTTGGAAGCTCGGAGCTTCGGCCGGAGCGCGGGCTGCGACAGCCAATGGCAACTGAAGCCGGCCAGCTCAGAGGTCTGCCCGCTGACGTCAGACGCTGCGGCGGAATCGACCCCCGGCGACGACACGGTCGAGGTGCCTCCGTGGAGGCGTCCCAGCGCTGACCAGATTCGGGCATCACTTATATATGCAGAGATAGAGTGCCGCTGTCAGGGCTTGGGACACGCCATCCAAGCAACAGATATTTCTCACATGGAGGCAGCTTCTATTTGTGGTCAGTGGGCGATGCAAACCACGGCGCAGTCAAAATTGGGGGGCTATTCTAGTCATCATTTATTGGAAATCAGAAATCCTGAGGCCTTTGGAAAAGTGGGGCGATGTAGGAGCTTTGATGTCAGAGGAGCATCAATATGCAACGGGCAGATCATTGTTAATAAGCGTCGCGTCCGCGCAGTTGATTTTAAGGAAAACGTTTATCATTTGGCGGGCAAGTAAATGGGCTCATAATAGATTTACACAACCAACTAACCAAAATTTAAACTGAAACCGTCGGACACTTCATCAAGTCGCGACTTAGACAGTCCGACTTTCCACACTCACGGACTAATTACTGCGAGCTTTGAAACTTGAAATTGTCTTTGCAATTAGGGGCTAAAGTGAAACTACATACTCATCTTCTGACACTAAAGGCTCCTTCAGTCTTCTGGTGGACAAAACTTAGAAACCCAGTGGCGGATCCAGGGGGGGGGGGCAAAATGGGCATTTGCCCCCCCCCCCCATGGCATAATTTTAACATTACGCCTATGGACGATGCATGGAAAGAATCGATAATTGTTTGGTTTGCCCCCCCCCCCCAAAAAAAAAAAACTCTTAGTTGGATCCGCCCCTGTAGAAACCTAGTGTTGGCCCAGTACATTTATAAACCATTTTCCATTCTGTCAGGCACCAGAAACCTGCAGACCCGCGTACACTTATATGACTCATGTCGCCGTTTTCACGACGGCAAATTGGTACACATTTGGTGCACATTTGGTGCAGATTAGGTACAGATTGGGTCAAATTACATAGTTCAGTGTATCTCTTAGAAGCTATCAGCTAGGGTTGCACTAATTGCTTATGCCTCCTTTGTCATATTATCATGGAGTATCATCGTTAAAACACTGAAATAAATTCATAAAAGAAGATATTTTCTGTAAAGAGATAAGGTGCAGATTTGGTCAAATCAGGTGCATTCGCCGGATAGCCCGTCGTGAAAACGGCTATTTAGTATTACCTCTTATGATAACTACAACTCAAGAAACTCAGATTACC